TATGTAACAGATAAGGCAGACAGAAAATACAGTTGAACCTCGCTTAACGAGCACCTCTCTTAACGAGTAATTCGCTTAACGAGCAAAGCCAATTGTAAAAAAAAATGACTTTCTAAACGAGCGACATTTCGCATAACGAGTAGCGAGGAGAAGGGAAGTCCCGGATTGTGCGCATGTTATATCAGTCTGTGTTTAGCACTCGTTTTAGTAGCATCGTAGTGTCGCTTGTGATCACACATTTTCTCAAACTTATCTTACATTGTGATTTGTGTACATGAATCCTCCAGGCCTACAAGATGACCTCCGTAAAGAATTGAAGCTCATCAAGATCCAGTTTCTGCCTCATAACACCACTCCGTTACTCAAGCCCAATTACCAGCAAGTTATTTCTAGCTTTGAGAAGCTCTACACTAAAGCACTCTTTGAGCATTGTTTTCAGGTGACTGAAGGGACCAACCTCACTCTCAAAGAGTTTTGGAAAAATCACTTTCACATCGTTGCCTGACTCAAGATCATCGACAGGGCGGGGGAAGGGGTTACCAAGAGTATCCTAACTTCGGAAGAAGCGTTGGCCGGAGAGCGTTGTCGATATGTGACTTTGAGGGGTTCGAGACAGTACCTGTGGAGCCTGTAGTCAACGAGATTGTGTCTTTGGCTACTATCATGGGATTGTAGGAGGATAACAGTGATATCGAAGAGCTTGTGGAAGAGCACAGCCAAGAGCTGACCACCGAAGAGCTTATGGGGTTGCATTGTGTTTCACAGCAAGAAGTTTTGGAGGAAAGTTTGTCATAGGAGGAGGAGGTAATAGAAAAGCAACAGTCTTCTGGCGAAATAAGAGAAATGCTGAAAAGCATGGCAAACTGTTGCATCTTACATTGAGAAGCATCACCCTAATAGGGAAGTGGCTATTCACGCAGCAAATTTATTTAATGATAATGCTATGTCGCATTTGTGCCAAATTTTGAAGCGTCGGCGAAAAGAAATGTCTCTGGACATCTTTCTAGTTTAAAAAATAATTAGGTGTGTATCATAATTATTTCGACTTTTTTGTTTTCTGCAAATCGAATTCGCATTCCAGGTGGGTTCGTACCGTGTTTGAAGAAAAGACAAAATGTATATAATTTTCTTTGAATAAACGTTATACATAGCATTTTGTGAGTATTTTTTTTTTTTTTTCGACATGGAAACCATTATCATATTTTACATTAATTTATATGAGAAAAATTGTTTCGCATAACGAGTGTTTCGCTTAACAATTATAATTCTGGAACGAATTATGCTCGTTAGGCGAGGCTCCACTGTATATGCGTGCAGAACCGATGAATGGATAGACAGGGGGATGGATGGACGGATGGAGGTAGAGGCAGGAACACGCGGGCGGGCAGACAGATTACGTGGATATATTCACTTATTTTTACCCCACTAATAGGTTTAGTACCTATTTAACCACCAAGAAAATAAACACACAGTAAACTTCTCCGCTCCTCCACGTCTCTCAGACACACAGAACGCCGCGACATCAACCTAGCCACTATAACAAAAACCCAGGACAAACGTTTACGATTCTATTTGTCTTCTATCCCCGTTAAAATACGCCGTTCTTTGTTTACATTAGGATTTTTGTAGAAGCCTGCTCAACAAAACATGGTATTCCGATTTCTACTTCCCCAGCCGTGGCTCCAGTTCCATGGTTTTGCCTTGTCTACAACGAAAGTACAGAAAAAAACTGCTTTCTTGCTTACATGTTCGAGTTTAAGAAGTCAGCTTGTTAACATTTTGTTGTGTTCAAACATTCAACTGAAGATTGATTTCCTCTCCTTTTTTGTATTATTTCCCTCTCCACGAACCTCTCTTTCCTTTCCTTCCGTCATCTTTGGTGCTGCTGTTCTAGTTACTACTACAACAACCACTACTACTGCTTTTCCTTTTTTGGGGGGGATCTATCTTTGTTTTCTCTTTTTCTTTCCCTTCTGTATTATACTACTACCGCCACCACCACCACTACTAATACTGCTGCTGCTTCTGTTGCTGTTGCTGCTATTCCTTATTTTCCATCTAGCTTTGGTTTCTTTTTCTTTCCCTTCTGTGTCATACTACTGCCACTAACACCACCACCACTGCTACTACTACTACTGCTGCTGCTGCTGCTGCTATTCCTTATTTTCGATCTAGCTTTGCTTTCTCTTTTTCTTTCCCTTCTGCATTATATCGAATTTCCTTCTACCACCATTTTATATACTGCTTACTTACCGACCTACCCACCTACTAACTGGACTGCTTATCTGCAAAGTCCGATGTTTGCTCTTCCAAAATCCCTTTCGCCGAAATATCCTTTCACACTGTATTATTAGGGCTGTATAAATTAGAAGCAACCGAGGTGTAGCGACTACACTCTCGCATTAGGGCCTGAAGGTCGCATGTTCAAATTCACATGGAGCCTAAACATTTTTTTAATCCCCTTTCAACAATGACCAGGGTTTCCAGATCTACCAGCCTAAAATGGGTGCCAGAAAAAGTCATGAGAAGTAAAGGCGGCCAGTGTGGTGCTGAGTGCACTACGCACCGAATGCTGATTGGTCTATAAATTACAGGACTAACAGTTATTACCCAACATACATAAGGACGTGGAACAGGGGTCTTTTACCTGTGACCTATTAAAAAGTTTATCACAAACGTGTTCATGAATATGAATAGTGAATGGTTTCTGAAACAGATTCTTAAGTATGTCGGCTCTTTTGCTACCTACTGACCAGTCACTGCCCTGCCCCCCCCCCCCCGTTCTCCCCCCCCCCCCCAAAAAAAAAAACACATACGCCTAAAATCATCTATATCTTAAATATTCTTCGGTACACCCTCCCATCAATCCAACTGTCGATCGATCAGGCAAAGATCTTCCCCCCTAGCCATTTATACACTTAATATCTACCTGTATACACATTTGCCAGTCATTATCGTAATTTTATTGTTACCTGCTCTCTCTCTCTCTCTCTCTCTCTCTCTCTCTCTCTCTCTCTCTCTCTCTCTCAATAAATCCATCCAGTATGTCTGTTTACCTATCTAATCTTTCTATTTATATATCTACCTACGTGCCTACCTACATATTTACCTATCTTCCCCACCTCCCTCAAAGTTTCTGCCAGATGAAATCCCCTTCCCCTCATTCTACCCATTACTATCTTTCAGCAACTTCCCCTTGCACAAGATCTGCCCCAAATCGCAAACTCCACAGACCCACGCGCTACCCACAATCTCGAAGGCTTCACCTCCACCACTGCCTGCAGAAGCACCCGCTGCTTTGGCTGCTGCTTTCAGCTCCACAAACAACACTTATCGCGGCATCTAGACATCCCGCCTTCTCAACTAACCGACCTGGTGCCATGTTTAGCCCTCGGGTATATCCTTTACGTGGCTACACGTTGTTACCTCGTCCTTTCAAACAATTCGTGTTTCCACAACATATGACCCGCAGAAGGCAAAGACGAGCCTTGTCTAGACCACTGCTTGTGTTCCTTGCGATATTTACATTCTTTCCAAGAACCATGGTGGTACAGTGAATAGTGCATTGGCTTAATATCAATGCTGAACCGCTTGAACCCCCCACATTACATTTTTCTTTTCACGTACAATAAAGAGAAAGTGAACTTCACAAAAAAATCAAGACAGTTTCTTCTACAACATTTAGGTTATAAATGTCTGAGTATGTATGACTTAAAATAACATTACTTTGAGACATGAGGAGTTAAAGCAACAACTGAACGTGTAGGAATAGTGTTAGGACTGTATGTGACATGGTTAGTTGCGTATCCTTTACAGGACGTTGCAGAACCAACCCCAACAGCCCCTGGCTGTTGTGTGGTTTTTCTGGGGGAATTTAAGTCCAGTTCTTTGCTACTGTATTCTGGATGGTCGGCTTTCTTGATACCACTGTCGAAATCAACGCAATGCGCGTGGCCCGCAGCTGGGATAAAATCTGGCATCCCGGCATTACGAAGCGTTCGCGCTGACTTAGCCATAGAGCCGATGTATGTGACATAAGGAGTTAAAAAAACTGTAATGTCATGTTAAACCCCAACAAACGCGTGATGAGTTGACTGACACTGAATGAATTGTAAACTTAGTGACAACTGGCACTCTTGTGGAAATACATCAAAGAAAGATACAGAAATCGATACAGAGATCGATACAGAGATCGATACAGAGATCTTCTTCTTCACATTCACCGGTTGTAAACTCCGGCGCAAAGTTATAGCTGTTAGTTCACCTCCGGATTAGTTCACTTCCGGAATTTAGTCTTGTTCCAGAATCTAAGTGTTGCAGACACTTCCAATTCAAAGATATAGCTTATATGTATGCAGGCTGTCGGTTCCTTGTCTCGCAGGCAAATATACTCTGACTTCGAGGGATGCCCCCAATAGTTGACTTCTCGTACGTGCTTGTTGCGGAGACAGGCGGTCTGTTCTCGTTTGCCCCACATTGGGACCCCGGAACACACAGGGGAGACACGGAGACAAAAAAACCTAGTGGCATTGACCCCAGGGCGGCAAAAGAAACAGATTCGAGCCCGAGGACTATCCTTCTCTTCCCTTTTTCATTCTCTCTGCCAATGTTTGGATGACACCCTTTGTTTCCTGACTCACAGGTGTATAGAATCTAGTTATGGGTTGGAAAGTATAAATGAGGCCAGTCAATGTTTAGCAGTTAATACTTACATTGTAGTTAAAACATTCTTACCTGGACAAGAGAGAGGGGCAGGAGGGGGGTTGGGATGTGTGTCGGGAAGAATAAATTCGGCCAGTCAACGTTTAATAGCTGAAACTTATCAAAATTGTGTAGTGTGTTAAAACGTTTATTGAGGTGACTGAGATGCGGGGAGAGGGACATAGCATGCGTGAGCAAGAGAGAGAGAGAGAGAGAGAGAGAGGGAGAGAGAGAGAGAGAGAGCAAGCGTGAACGAGAGAAAGAGAGACGTAAACAGGGCGTGTACAGACATCACTGACCTTTGATGTAGATCATGGCGCGGTAGGAGTAGGCGACTCCAAACTCGTTCTCGGCTACACATTCATACGTGGCCTCGTCAGATTCCTGGCTGTTCTTGATCTGCAGATAGCCTGTGTGGAGAAACAGAAAACAGATGTCAGCCTCTGACAGTCGTGTCATCACAGATCACGTGAATGGAGGCCTCCAGGTTCAAAGTACTACTTGAAGCGCCCAACAAAACGCCCTATATTTACCAAAATCATAAATTTTGAAAGACTGCTTTTAAAATGGTGTATATTGATGCCTGATTGCCTAAATTATTAATGAGGTTGTTTACCAATAAAAGACAAGCACTACGGTTAATTGTATCAACATTTAATGGAGTGGGAGAAACGTCTTCTCCACCAACACAATTGTAATGATAATACGCCATACACTTCTGTTTGGGTGACATGAATATTTTACCGCAAAACAATTAGCATAATATAATCTGACATAAACAAGCGATGGCCATATATCCAATAAAATGTCGATGCGATCTAGGATTCAAATAAACTACAAATTGTACTGAAATAAAATGATACTCTAATTGATATTTAGCACAGAGGTTACATCAAACTGAAAACAACATACAGTACAACTAAACAAGAACAGTAGAGAGACATTACAAATTTCCACACTTTCAAGGGTATCAGACATATGGGGTTAGACCTATATTTTACAGATTAATCAGCACTCATTGGCTGATGTAGTCAGCATCACACTGGTCGCCTTTATTTCCCAGGACTTTATCTGGTACTCATTCAAGATTGGGTCGACTTGGAAGCCAAAGTAATTTTTAAAAAGCATGGCTCCGTTCGCATTCGAACCCACGACCTAACCGATCATCAGGCGAGCATGTAGCCACAACACCACGGCGGCTCCCTAGATAGGAGAGGGCGGAGGCATAATCATACGGTCATTGAAAAGTGGCATTGGAAAGTAGCAGGGGAATAATCATGCGGTAAATTAAACACAGTAAAATGACACCATAAATGACACCACGATAACTGATGAGTAGGAACGTGAACTAATGAGACTGATGTCTGTTACAAGCGCATCTCAACATGTGGGACATCCAGAAACTATTACAGGCTGGTCTAAGCTTGGGACACTATAAAACTATTAGAGGCATTTCTAAGCTTGGGACACTATAAAACTATTAGAGGCATTTCTAAGCTTGGGACACTATGAAACTATTACAGGCTGGTCTAAGCTTGGGACCCTAAAAACTATTGGGCTGGTCTAGGTTATGAAACTATTACAGGTCTAAGCTTGGGCTGGTCTAAGCTTGGAACACTATGAAACTATGAAACTAAACTATTACAGGTTGGTCTAAGCTTGGGACCCTATGAAACTATTACAGGTTGGTCTAAGCTTGGGACACTATAAAACTATTGGAGGTTGATCTAAGCTTGGGACACTATAAAACTATTACAGGCTGGTCTAAGCTTGGGATACTATGAAACTATTACAGGTTGGTCTAAGCTTGGGACACTATGAAACTATTACAGGTTGGTCTAAGCTTGGGACCCTATGAAACTATTACAGGCTGGTCTAAGCTTGGGATACTATGAAACTATTACAGGCTGGTCTAAGCTTGGGATACTATGAAACTATTACAGGCTGGTCTAAGCTTGGGACACTATGAAACTATTACAGGCTGGTCTAAGCTTGGGATACTATGAAACTATTACAGGCTGGTCTAAGCTTGGAACACTATGAAACTATTACAGGCTGGTCTAAGCTTGGGATACTATAAAACTATTACAGGCTGGTCTAAGCTTGGGATACTATAAAACTATTACAGGCTGGTCTAAGCTTGGGATACTATAAAACTATTACAGGCTGGTCTAAGCTTGGGATACTATGAAACTATTACAGGCTGGTCTAAGCTTGGGATACTATAAAACTATTACAGGCTGGTCTAAGCTTGGGATACTATGAAACTATTACAGGCTGGTCTAAGCTTGGGATACTATGAAACTATTACAGGCTGGTCTAAGCTTGGGATACTATAAAACTATTACAGGCTGGTCTAAGCTTGGGATACTATGAAACTATTACAGGCTGGTCTAAGCTTGGGATACTATGAAACTATTACAGGCTGGTCTAAGCTTGGGATACTATGAAACTATTACAGGCTGGTCTAAGCTTGGGATACTATGAAACTATTACAGGCTGGTCTAAGCTTGGGATACTATGAAACTATTACAGGCCCATGCAACCCACAGGACATTTTACGGTGGTTACAGATTTATACAAAAATAGGACCTTCTAAAATTGTTTTGCTCATACTCAAAATGTAGATTCTCAAACGGTTAACTGCGATTTTCTCGAAAGAATCGTCAAAGAAAATCTGGCAGCCTGCCAGCAAACCATAACGAGAGCCTAGAATCAAGGCACGCGGGCCGTGAGTATATATCCTCCTCCTTCTCCTCCTTTTCCACCTCCTCCTCTGATATCTACATGATTTACGACCGGAGTAAATCCCCCGCCTTCACCTCCTCGGGAACCCCCTGACAGAAAAAGAGATAACATCAGACCCTACCTTGATATAATTTTCATGACACCGCAAGTCTGGCTACAAACACTGCACGCTTAACCCGACCCAAAATATTTATACACAGCTATCCGCTGATTCTACAGTTACCAATTCCTCGGTGAAGGCAACGCTGGATGTATCGCCGGTTATCTCAAAATATAAAATCTACAAGCCAGAGTTTCTCCAGGAGTAGACATTCGTCGGATCAAATATCATCTGAGATAGCGTGTCTGTAAACACTGACTAGCCACCAGGTTCAATTTTTAAGTCAGGCTAATGTGAAGCAGAGAACACTGTTCATGCTAGTGGCATAGGATGAACAATCAGGACTCTGCGACTGGCTATGGTCAACATCACGCCGGCGGCCTCAACTTCCCAGGTTACTGCCCAGTGCCCATTTAGGATAGGTCAACTTAGGAGCCAAAGACACCCACGCCTCACCCTCCCCCACCCCCTAAATCCTCCCGGTGCGGGTAGACTACAAAGTAAATAAAACTGGATTGCGTCGTGAGTGACAACGGGAGTGTTGGATGGTAAGAAAGGCTAGGGGAGAACATTTGAGCTTGGCATTTTTGAGGGTACTAAGTTCCATGACTAGCAGTGCACCTGCAAGCATATGGACAAACAAAACATGGCCAATGCTAATCAGAATGGACTTTAAGAAGAGTGAGAGGATACTGAGACCTGGGTCGACAAGAACAAGATATGGTGAGTGGTTTGGCGAAGAAGACTGGCGCAGGACCATCAACAACATATAACTCTAGGCAGGCAGATGAGTACTTTATTTATAATTTACCCCAAACACAAGAAATAACGGAGTTGCTGGGAAAGTCCAATATATTAGGGGTGTTATGGGTTGGAGTTAAGGGTTTAGGGTTAGGGTTAGAGGGGGTTAGGGTTTGTCTGAGGCAGTCGGGGCTGACAAAAATCATAACGCTAACCCCCAACCCATAACACCCCCAGAACATTGGACTTTCCGGGAAGCTATAGTATTTCCTTTGATTGCGGTGCATAATAAATAAGGTACCGGCAGATGTTCGCAGAGCAGCAAGATCGTCTATGCCCTATGCCTACACATGATGACGATACAGAGTTACAAACATGAAATCTGTCTACAAGTTAAATTAGTAACTTTCCGGGGAGCCAGCACCAGTTCGCACTTTTGCACGAGTTCAAACATTTCAGAAATCTACACAACTGGGGCATCTGTGTGCGTCTCCTTCTCTCATGTCAGTCTTACATAAATGTACACAACTGGGACATCCATGTACGTCTCCTTCAATCATTTCAGTCTCAAACAAATGTACACAACTGAAACATCTGTGCACGTCTCCTTCTCTCATGTCAGTCTAACATAAATGTACACAACTGGGACATTTGTGTAGGTCTCCTTCTCTCATGTCAGTCTCACATAAATGTACACAACTGGGACATTTGTGTACGTCTCCTTCTCTCATGTCAGTCTCACATAAATGTACACAACTGGGACATCCATGTACGTCTCCTTCTCTCATGTCAGTCTCACATAAATGTACACAACTGGGACATCCATGTATGTCTCCTTCAATCATTTCAGTCTCAAACAAATGTACACAACTGGAACATCTGTGCACGTCTCATTGTCTCATTTCAGCCTCACACATATGTACAAAACTGGGACATTTGTGTGCGTCTCATTCTCTCATTTCAGTCTCACACATATGTACACAACTGGAACATCCGTGTTCGTCTCCTTCAATCATTTCAGTCTCAAACAAATGTACACAACTGGGACATTTGTTTACGTCTCTTTCTCTCACGTCAGTCTCACACAAATGTCATGGCACAGAATGTTGCTATTGTTACTGTGTAACGTCTCCCTAACATTAGAATTCCTGTGCCACTAGTCCATGCCCCTTCAGTGTAATGCAGGCCTGTCATACTGCCGGCCCGCGGGCCCAAATGGGTCCTTTACAAGCACGATTGGGGCCCACGCAGAAAAAAAATTATGCAATCATTTTAATTAAATGACTGATAGTTGTCATGAATGGCCCTCACGACAACACAAATATCATCCATATGGCCCTCATAATGACACACATATCAGCCATATGGCCCTCTCTGACGACACACATATCAGCCATATGGCCCTCATCACTACTCACATATCAGCCATATGGCCCGCATAATGACATTCATACCAGCCTTATGGCCCTTCTCTGACGACACACATATCAGCCATATGGCCCTTCTAACGATTTATATATCAGTTTATTGACCCCAATGACGACATACACATCAGCCATATGGCCCTCATCACTACACACATTTCAGCCATATGGCCCTCATAATGACATACATATCAGCCTTATGGCCCTTCTCTGACGGCACACATATCAACCATATGGCCCTTCTAACGATACATATATCAGTTTATTGACCCTCCTGACGACACACATATAAGCCATACGGCCCTCATCACGACACACATTTCAGCCATATGGCCCTCATAATGACATACATATCAGCCATATGGCCCTTCTCTGACAGACACACATATCAGCCATATGACCCTCGGGGAATCCCCAGTTTAGCGTGCCTCGTGTAATGCACCTCTTCGTCTACCCTTTATCAGCCAACATAACCAAGGCCCTCGACCAACACACACCAAGTTGTCCTATCCTGTTCTATCGCATATAGTTCAGCACACGTCCTCCCTATTTTTCCCCCTCTCTAGCTTCCTTCTCCACCTGTGGTGGTGGTGGTGGTGATGGTGGTGGTGATGATGGTGGTGGTAGTAATGATGTTGATGTTGATGATGATGGTGATGAGATGATGGTGATGATGATGTTGATGATGGTGGTGGTAATGATGATGATGATGATGGTGATTATGATAATGGTAGTGATGATCGTGGTGGTAATGATAATGATGATGATGATGATGATGATGGTGGTGATGAGATGATGGTGATGAGATGATGGTAATGATGATGAGATGATGGTGATGATGGTGATGGTAATGATGATGATGATGATGGTGATTATGATAACGGTAGTGATGATCGTGGTGGTAATGATGATGATGGTGGTAGTTTTGGTGATGATGATGATGGTGATGATGATGTGGTGGTGATGTATTTTAAAAGAAAAAAGCACTATCCTAACTAGGAAACAGTAACAACAGAACAGAAACATACCAGATTCCAATATCTGGATCCTTGGATCTGTGTCGTCTACAGGAAACCCATCTTTGAGCCAGGAGATGGTGGGTTTGGGGTCTCCCTTAGCGTCGCACTGAAGCAGGACATTGCGATCCTTCTCGACCGAGCGCAGCTTGGGGTGGGTCTCAATCCGTGGATAGCCTGGAGGGAAGTCTGACAGCACGGGAAAACACTCAATTAGCAAACTTAGCAACACAACTGTCAGCCATGTTCTGACAGTAACAGAACTGGTACAGTCCTATTTCGTAACTATATTAACAAGCTGTGTTACACATTGAAAATGAGACAGACAAACATCACAAGTCTGAAGCAAAAAGGTTTCTGGCGAAAAGGGCGGGACTCCTACACAGAAAAGCTAATCGTAAGTGGCAGTAGTAGTAGTATAGGTAGAGGCAGTAGTCGTAGTAGTAGTATTACTTGCAATATAGTAGTAGTAGTAAGTAGTAGTAGTAGTAGTAGCAGCAGCAGCAGCAGCAGCAGCAGCAGTAGCAGCGGCAGCAACAGCAAAAGTAGTAGTAGTAGTAGTAGTAGAAGCAGCAGCAGTAGTAATAGTAGTAGTAGCAGCAGCAGCAGTAGTAGCGGCAAAAGTAGTAGCAGCAGCAGTAGGAGTAGTAGTAGCAGTAGCTGCAGCAGCAGTAGCAGCGGCAGAAACAGCAAAAGTAGTAGTAGTAGTAGTAGAAGCAGCAGCAGTAGTAATAGTAGCAGCAGCAGTAGTAGCGGCAAAAGTAGTAGTAGTAGCAGCAGCAGTAGGAGTAGCAGCAGCAGCAGCCAAAGTAGTAGCAACGACGGCAGTAGCAACAGCAGCAGAAGTCGTGCTGATATCAGTTGTATGGTTTTAATAGCAGCAGTAAACATCAGTAGCATCTGTAGTATTTTTAACTATAGAAACAGTTTAGCAATAACATTAGGAAAATTGTCAATAATAAGATCATCTTCGATAATCTTCAGACAAATAGCTGCAGATGCTTTAACATTGGTGGCCCATTGGTTGGTAGTTGTGGTGTTAGCAGTAGTTGTGTTGGTAGTAGTAGTGGTGGTGGTGGTGGTGGTGGTAATAGTAGCAGTAGCAGCAGCAGCAATAATAAGTTTATAATAGTACGGAAAGTACAAAAACAAAGAACATCTGCATTAGTTGAAGCAGCAGCAGCGCCATTAGCAGCAACAGCATTAATGGTAGCAATAAGATTTTTAGCAGCATTTACAGTAGAAACACCAGCAGTAACAATAGTAGCTGCAATAACAGCAGCAATAACAGTAGTAGCTGCAACAAGAGCAGCATCAGCAGGGATGTACTATTCATGGTCATCACAACGAACTGATGACTCTCAAAAAGTTCGACTCATCCCAGGACAACCAAGCCGTAACCAGCTCCTGTACTGCAGCCTTCAATAGTTTGTGTTCACTGTCTCAGATAAACCGTGTCAGATTGTCATGGATCCAGAGCCTCGGTGTTGTCCATCCGGTGTCTGCCAACGATCTGGATTGACGTGCCCCAATGCCAGCTTGTAGTATCCTTGGCATCGTCACGTCATAGTTTAGGGAAGAGGAAGTCATGTGCTTCTGACTCCACCAGTTCAATAACCACACGTACAAACAAACATGTCGGGAGCTAACACCGAAATAATCACATACACGTGTCAAACGACATACAGCAATAAACATCACATCCACTTGTGTCTACTAAAACTAAAATATGGTGACTATGCTAAAGAAAAAAAAAAAGACATTACTTTTCAGAAAAACACAAACCAGCTGAAAATTAATCAATGACAATAGGATGCAGCGGGTTAGAAATGCAAATAAATACAAGTATACTAAAAAAAAGAAAAAAAAAACTGCATAGCACGACTACACTCAAGACTACAAGATATTCTATACAAGGACCAGATATGTTGACGTCGCCATTGTTGGGTTGATGCTTTCAGTCACTTAGGTGTGGCGAGCATGCTCCGTAATTCTAATATAATCGGTTCGATTCAAGCTGTTGCCAATCTGGTAGCAGGCCACTTTGAGAGCTGATTTCGACAATGCGCCGACCGTGGTGTATGCAATGACAAACTACTGAACTTAAAATTGCCTAGTCTTTTTCTTCTTCTTCTTCTTCTTCTTCTTCTTCTTCTTCTCTTCTTCTTCTTCTTCTTCTTCTTCTTCTTCTTCTTCTTCTTCTTCTTCTTCTTCTCTCTTCTTCTTCTTCTTCTTCTCTCTTCTTCTTCTTCTTCTTCTTCTTCTTCTTCTTCTTCTTCTTCTTCTTCTTCTTCTTCTTCTTCTTCTTCTTCTTCTTCTTTCTTCTTCTTCTTCTTCTTCTTCTTCTCTTCTTCTTCTTCTTCTTCTTCTTCTTCTTCTTCTTCTTCTTCTTCTTCATCTTCTTCCTCTTCTTCTGGACGTTAACTGGCTGTTAACTCCGTCGAGAGGTTCTGGTTGTTCATCCTCTTCTGGATACTGGTCTTGTTCTAGAACATTATTCGTTCCTGCACATCATTTTTACAGATCTTGTTCATCTGTATGCACACTGTTGGTCAATCGCCTGTCAGACAGATGCATTCTGACTTCGAAGGAAACCCCTTTATGAGGCACCTTTTAAGACATGCTTACTGGCGGGCACCGAGGGGGAGGGGAGGGGCAGTGGGGTAGCAAAACCAATGAGCCTAATTAAAAATGCTGGAGTTGATTCGGCCATGTCATGAAAAGGATGCGCAACTAACTTATTGTTGAGCTATATAGTATTTGATATGTGAATTGATTTCGTGAAATTATTTCACATGCTGTTGCATTCAAGAGGTCCCAAACAAGGGATTTTTGCAGGCGTTACGTCCAATTCAATTGAACTCACCAACCAAACAGACGTGTCTTTTCAATACCTGTTCGATTCTACAAGATGTAGCGTTGTTTAACTGGAATCTATAGTTCGCGAGAAAGAGTTAGACAACGATACAGGTGGTGTGATAACATAATTAGATGGACAAACGGCAGTCTCAAAGACATACATCCCGAGACAAATAGAGAGCACTGGGGATCTATTGCAGTCAAGGTTGATTTTAGAGTATGGAGACAGCATCTACCAGACTGAGACTTTTTTTTTTTTTTTTCATTATGGTCTCTGTCGACCCAAATAAGGGAATATGGCTGTTAACTGGGCTTACTAGATCCGCCAGGGGTGCAAACTGCTGCTGAATGAGACCCACAATCAGTGCGGCATTTTTAGAAATCAACAGAATATACGAAGAGATATTAAAGTATATCACTACATTCCGATTTGTTTAAAGATTTACTAGACAAAATACAGTGGTGGTTTTCCCTTGAATTCCGCCAGTCTGCGTATATATTCGACAGAAGAATCATTATAATTTTTTAGGGCAGCCAAAAAGAGAAACCCAGATGTTCTGAAAGAGGCGAGAGCTCGAAGATAACTTATCAAAAACATTAGAAAGAGACCGTGGTCCTTTTTAGGTCATCTGATGCGAACAATGAGACTGGGACATATAGTGACCACTGGAAAGATCTGTTGAAAGAGAAACACGTGGCTTGGAGAGATGTGAACACACGGATTGATACAATCAGTTGAAGACCGCAGAAGCAGAACTGTGTCTCGGCACGATATTACCGCTGCGAGAAAATTAATGACAAAACCAGAAGCTCTTCAAAAGAACATCTACCATAACGTCGTGAATTATAACCACGAGATCTCTACACCAGGTGTAAGGTGCAGCAGGTTTATTGATTCTTCTGGTAAATGTAACATACTGGTAGTGTTTCCGGGGCTTTACTGTTGGCTAGCAGAGTGTGCAGACTGACACAAAACCTCCAGAAACTAGTCTCACAGCCTTTCCCAAAATGTGTCAGTTCTGGGTGGTTTGTTGATGTGCTGCGAACGCGCTTCGTAATGCCCAGGTGCCGGGTTCGATCCCAGCTGCAGGCGTTTACGCCTTGCGTTAGGACGATGGTTGTAACCGGAGCTGACCGTTTAGGGGCAATGGCAAACTACTGAAAGTAAAACTGTCTAGTAAAATCCCAAACAGCAAAACAATTCTGGGAATGGCTCTATTCTAATTTCATCATCACCAATAGTGTTGTGCCATTATAGATCGCATAGGGTTTGCACGTATTCTTATATTCTGTTGTATTTTGTGTTGTTTTAATATAGTGGATGGGTCATTTAATGAAACAGGTGACAGAGTTGAAGTAACAACAGACATTAGAGGTCATTTAATAAAACAGGTGACAGAGTAGAAGTAACAGCAGACATTAGAGGTCATTTAATGAAACAGGTGACAAAGTTGAAGTCACAGCAGACATTAAAGGTCATTTAATGGCACAGGTGATAGAGTTGAAGTCACAGCAGACATTCATCATCATCATCGGTTATGGTTATGCCTGGTGGCACATGAGGCTTCAGAAAGGACTTTCCATGCTTTCCTGTCCTGTGCAATGTTTAGTGCAGTTTTCCATGTCAAAGATGCCGCACTCAGGTCACCTCTCATCGTTCGTCTCCATGTGGTTTTTGAGCGCCCCTGCAGCAGACATTAGAGGTCACTGAATGAAACAGGTGACATAAACTGTAGACATTAGAGGTCACTGAATGAAACAGGTGACATAAACTGCAGACATTAGAGGTCACTGAATGAAACAGGTGACATAAACTGCAGACATTAGACGTCATTTAATGAAACAGGTGACATAAACTGCAGACATTAGAGGTCACTGAATGAAACAGGTGACATAAACTGCAGACATTAGAGGTCACTGAATGAAACAGGTGACAGAGTTGAAGTCACAGCAGACATTAGAGGTAATTTAATGAAACAGGTGACAGAGTTGAAGTCACAGCAGACATTAGAGGTCATTTAATGAAACAGGTGACATAAACTGCAGACATTAGAGGTCACTGAATGAAACAGGTGACATAAACTGCAGACATCAGAGGTCACTGAATGAAACAGATGACAGCGTTGAAGTAACAGCAGACATTAGAGGTCATTTAATGAAACAGATGACATAAACTGCAGACATTAGAGGTCACTGAATGAAACAGGTGACATAAACTGCAGACATTAGAGGTCACTGAATGAAACAGATGACAGCGTTGAAGTAACAGCAGACATTAGAGGTCATTTAATGAAACAGGTGACATAAACTGCAGACATTAGAGGTCACTGAATGAAACAGATGACAGCGTTGAAGTAACAGCAAACATTAAAGGTCATTTAATGAAACAGGCCAATGTGTTTTACAGACGAATGATGAGAACGGTCTAGTTTTACAGACTAATGATGAAACCGTCTAGTTTTACAGATGAATAAGAGAATACTGTGGACGGGACAAAAATAAGTGTAGTAATACAGATGACTTGACCAGAAGTACAATATGATGAAAACTGATTGCCCACATAAGTAGAAGGAGCCAATCTGCGTTCTCTGGTCGTGTCCAGCGAGAGACAAAACTGGAGAACACCGTGACGGTGGGAAAGTAAGAGTGGCAAACGGAGGAGAGGGGACCTAGGCGTTGCCCTCAACCATCTTTTAGTTCCCTGTGCCCCTGAGTGAGATGACTAGTAACTAGCCTCAACACGGGGTTTAATGTCGCTGATTGTAAACAACAATCACATTACTGACTAATGTAGCTATGACTGACGAAAGCGCCTACTGAGGCTATGGTGTGTGTGTCGGAGGGGGAGTGGGGCTATTATAGTAGTGTGCAGCATTTCCGAAATGCCACAATCATGTTGTATATGTCACCCTTCTGCTACTGATAAATATTTGTTTGGTTTCCAACAACGGATCAACATCATGGCACAAGGGTAGTAACCCATAAGTGCTCCGTTCTACTTCTACTCAAGCCTGAGTCCGAATAATCTCAGCGCAGTGCACGAGCTTCCTAGGACTGGCGAAGATCTTGAAATACTTTGGGTAGATTTTCAACTCCAAATTTTGCCAGGGCTACGCCGTTAGGCTACTCTTTTTTATTTCTAACTGCCAAGGGATTTGTTTTGTGTGTGTGTGCGTAACAATAGACACTGGCAACCGGTCTTACTACCCAGATACCAGGGGAAATTACTAGAAGTCTACGTGGAAAAATCCTAGCCTTCACTAGAGCTTGAACCCTGGACCTCGAGAACTCGAGGCGGACGCCATACCTCAAGACCACTCAGCCCCTCTTACTGATCAGTAACCTAACAGTAAGTACGTGAACACTACAGAGTACAAATATTGGAACTATAAAACACCAAACGCCTCTTTTTGCAGAACGTCGCTTTATTTGTCGCCAGCTGGGAAAAAGGATGATCCATCCTCCGCCTGGTGAATCTTTATATCTAAGGTATGATCTGTGTACCGTGTTAGAGGTCTACAATATGGCATTACATTCATTTCACTAAACACTACATTAAGACGCATAATTTATATATATATATATATTTCCAAACACACACACATATCATATAGAGAATTACAACATGCATTGTACATAATGAATAAACATTCAGAATCAAATCTACACATTATACATCATTAAATTTACTGACTACATACGTACTGTACCTATATAGAAAAAGAATATACGCACAAGGTAATTTTCAAATGTATCTGCGGTTTTGCTATATGTTGGAACGAACGAACGAACGAACGAACGAACGAACGAACGATTCATTCATTTTAGGGCAATGGCACAGTCTTTAAACGCTGGGCTAAGGGGGATAACCACATAATCTATATGGATTCACAAGGAAACCTTCAATTACTTCCCTTAGAATACCAAGCTGTGAAGGGTACCAATTGTCTGTATGATGTTTTCTGCTTGGGTTCCCAGGCTCCATATGTGGGCGAACAGACACAGACTTTTCCTTAATCAGCATTATGTAACAAGCGACTAATTAGGGTGTGTTAGCCCAAGAGGCACAGATATCGTAACCTAGCCTGTAAACCTCAACACTACATGCCAACCGCCCTTTTACGAGGAACGATGAAGTGTGTGGCGTTATACACCGGCGACAGGGTCGTCCATTGGTTCGCAGGTAGACGACTTCGTCGCCAGTCGGGACAGTATTTAGGTCTGTCTCCTTAGACCCCATTACCACCCATTTATATACATATATGACTATGTGAGTGTGTGTACTGACTGACTGAATTTCTACCCCACCAGGACATCACACAAGCGATAAACACCCGATGACACAAAGTGCCAGCATGCGGATGAGGATCACCGTGGAGAGGTCCCAGAAACCGCGTTCAGACATTTGGCCATAATGATGACCTGCCTATATTGCGGCCCCTGGCAAAAGCCAGAGTGGGGCTTCAAATAACAAAAAATTACGTCCTAAGAAGGACGTAAGGGTCGTATATAACTATGAGTGTGTGTATATATAAAAGAGCAAATGAAGCACAAATATAAGCAAGCATTTTGTACACACAAAAACACCGCAGTTCATGCACAGTGCCAACCTATGAGAGCCATACATATCTCTCATGACACCGTATAAAAGCAATATATATCTCTCATGACACCGTATGAAAGCAATATATATATATATATATATATATATCTCATGACACCGTATGAAATCAATATATCTCTCACAAAAAACTGGACACAGAACTGACCATCATAAGACGAATCTAAGTTTCACAATCAGGGGACACAAATTGAAGGCACGCTACAGTGCGTGCGCCAACAAGCACACACTATCAACACGGTAAAAACGATCAGAACACACTCAAAAACACATATCAACAGAAATAAGATCCCTTCATTATTGTATTGAATGACTACATAATGCAGCCGTTAAAAATGTTAATGTTTATTAACTCAAACTTAAATTTAAAAATTTCAATTTATATATTTATTTAATCTTAAAAAAAAAAACACGTCGGGGTTTCCGAAAAGTGTGAATCAATGGGATTAATCATTATCATATGCGCTGCTTTTAAACATGGGCGGTGAATGATTGTCCTCACAAGATCACCCGTCTAAGATCACGCCTGTGTTCTTGTCACAATTATGCTACGTGGCCAGTCCACCCATGAAAGTATTTATGTATGGCGCTCTGCTAGGGGGAAAATATAAATTTGTCACTTTCAACCAGCATCCCCGAAGATAGATCTTTAGGTTATAACTGTGGCTAGGTTATGTGCGCCATAGGAAGATCTTTAGGTTATAACTGTGGCCAGGTTATGTGCGCCATAGGAAGATCTTTAGGTTATAACTGTGGCTAGGTTATGTGCGCCATAGGAAGATCTTTAGGTTTTAACTGTGGCCAGGTTTTGTGCGCCATAGGAAGATCTTTAGGTTATAACTGTGGCTAGGTTATGTGCGCCATAGGAAGATCTTTAGGTTATAACTGTGGCTAGGTTATGTGCGCCATAGGAAGATCTTTGGGTTATAAGTGTGGCCAGGTTATGTGCGCCATAGGAAGATCTTTAGGTTATAACTGTGGCTAGGTTATGTGCGCCATAGGAAGATCTTTAGGTTATAACTGTGGCTAGGTTATGTGAGCCATAGGAAGATCTTTAGGTTATAAGTGTGGCAAGGTTATGTGCGCAATAGGAAGATCTTTAGGTTATAACTGTGGCTAGGTTATGTGCGCCATAGGAAGATCTTTAGGTTATAACTGTGGCTAGGTTATGTGCGCCATAGGAAGATCTTTAGGTTATAACTGTGGCCAGGTTATTTGCGCCATAGGAAGATCTTTAGGGTATAACTGTGGCCAGGTTATGTGCGCCATAGGAAAATCTGTAGGTTATAAGTGTGGCCAGGTTATGTGCGCCATATAAAATAGCACGACATCAAGAGCCCTGAAAAGGACTCCTGCAGTGCTGATGTGATCAAAGGGGACAAACCCAAATACAATCCCGACTGGCGACAAAGTCGTCTACCGGCAAGCGAATATGCGAACTGGTTGCCAATAATTTTTGTGAGGATCCCTTGCAGTTTATATAATCAACATCCAACAGAATCTCCATAGCCAAACTAGTCCCAGCTGAATGCCTCCTGTCCTAATCCTGGCGCCTACTCGACCGAACCAAAGCTAGATGTGTCGCCTTCAAGGTATCGTATCGGTGTTTGTGTACAGTATCGCTGATGACGTCTAGACAATATCTTCCGCGGCGATCCACTAGCTCTATATCTGGAGTCAACTCACGGTCGTTTCATTATGCCCACAGATTACGCCTTACATGCTCTCACTTGTGGTTTCAACTCATAATGAGGTTAATGCCATTGAGTCCAAACTTTTCGGAGTGTATAAAAATAGTTCTTTACATTTTCAATACAAATTCCTTGTAAGCTACTTAGTGTAAAGCTTATTTACATGTATTATTTACATGTTTTTCCTCGCCGTATGTATTTTCTAATTGAGGAATATATTAATTACAAATATAATAACTCTGGTGTGGATGTGATGAGGTTATTTACCGAAAGGGAGCCAAAGACTGCTGCTAATAGGGGTCAAAATACACAACTGTAATAAATCGACAAAGACATCAAGTGAAAAATTGATGTTCAAAACAGCAGTTACCTTCATACTTAACAACCCAAGGATTAGTACCTGGGGATAAACAGAACGTTCGACTATGCTCAAAGTATAACACACTGGCGCACACACACACCCATGGGCATACACATACGCCCATGAGCATACAAATACGCCCGCGGGCACACATTTACACACCTATCAAACATATATTTATGCTTATTAAAAGCTGAGGTATCCAACGAGCGGAGTTTAACAACCGACTTTACTTCACTCCGGACATAACCATGAGCGCTCCGTCTCCATCGTCTGCGGCCAGAGCGAAGATCGGTTTCCGATGGCAGCAGTAGTAGTCTGACTGTATGTGCGTCCTGCCTTTTACCCTTCACGTTGAGTCGACCAAACCCTCTGGTGACTCCCCGCTGCACCGTTTTCTTCACTGCCGAAAGTATCTAACGAATCTATATGACTATCCAGATGACTACTGTACGCTCCCGTGCTCACAATTTCACTTGATGCTACAACACAAATAACCCTATAACCGTTGCCATCATTTGTAGCTTCCTCTCTCCTAGTTACTTCGCCTACAATGCTGTATATATTGCAATGTCTTTGTCCTGTTTCTTCTGATGCGCTTGGTAGCTTACGTTTGGATTCAAGATTAATGTTCTGGGTTTGTTTTGTTAATGTTGTAAAAAAAAATTTTTTTTTAAATACTGATGGATTCTTATCTTTTACTTCCAACCGCTCGCTACGGCCATCTGCGACCAATCATCCATAGCAACTCAGTACTCTTTCTTACAAACACGTCCAATTAGATAAGAAGGAAAAAATACACATAAAACAAACAATAACACAGTGTCCCCATAACAGCACAGGTCAGTCGACAGGAAATCGTACATACGGTGATCAATAATAACATTAAATAACACAGACACAACACACAGGACGTAGAAGATACAGACACACAACATGTCGGCACAGGAATGTACATGCAATATTTGCACGACAGAAATTGTCTGTGTGAAAACGTCTTGTCAAATCTGATACCGGTGTAGCACCAATATCTGAGTGATAAGGCTAATATCTGAAAGTAGTTATGCATCAGCTTCTTTAAGTCATCGGCCTCAACTCTAACACTGGTTCTGTACCAGCTTCATAAGTCATTGGCATAAAATTTGACACTGGTTCTGTACCAGCTTCATAAGTCATAGGCATACAATCTGACACCGGTTCTGTACCAGCTTCATAAGTCATGGGCATAAAATCTGACACCGGTTTTGTACCAGCTTCTTTAAGTCATCGGTCTAAAAACTGACACTGGTTCTGTACCAGCTTCAATGAGCCATCGGCCTACAATCTGACACTGGTTCTGTACCAGCTTCTTTAAGCCATCGGTCTAAAATCTGACACTCTTTCTGTACCAACTTCAATGAGCCATCGGTCTAAAATCGTACACTCCTTCTGTACCAGCTTCATGGAGCCATCGGCCTAAAATCGTACACTCCTTCTGTACCAGCTTCATGGAGCCATCGGCCTAAAATCTGACACTGGTTCTGTACCAGCTTCATGGAGCCATCGGCCTAAAATCTGACACTGGTTCTGTACCAGCTTCTTCAAGCCATCGGCCTAAAATCTTACTCTGGTTCTGTACCAGCTTCATAGTGTATTCAGCCTAGACTCGGTCACTGGTTATGTGTCAACTTCTTAAAGTCATCGGACTGAAATCTGTCCCTAGTCTAGTAGCAATTTCTTAGTCACAGGGCTAACATCTGATACGGGTGTTATTGAAATAAGCAACTTATTGTCATGATCATGTTGAACAATTGAGGCGACGGACAAGGTGGATATTATGCTGATCTCAGTTCCACACCAGGGAATAGTTCTTCAGCTAACTAAGCTAAGGATAACTGGTGTGGAGGTAAAGATGATAGCCGATCAAATCAACGGAGCTATGAATGATGTAATTAACCGGGCAGAAATACAATAGAAATAAGACTAGTTACGAGGTTAATCATTTAGCTATGTTATTTAATAAACGCTTACCGTGGCAACAGACCATGTTCCTAATTGCTACTATGATGACGCTGTCATCTGGCACTTGGTTACCATGGTGACTATACTGTTTCTGTCTATGGTTACCGTGGTAACAAGGTTATTTTAGAAACTGTTTACGCTAGCAACGTAGCCATTTTGTAAACGGCTACAACGGGTTTTATTTTACAAGACGTTTTTACGGTGACCAGAATGACAGTGGACAGTTTTACAGATGGCAGTAGACATTACACAGTAGAAATTTTTACATTTGGCATGTATATGTGTTTTTTGCATGATCAACAACATTAATGCACTTAAATATTATGCAAGTAGCATGTGATTGTATTTATTTTAATACACATGCATACATTATATGAAACATCTAGTATGGTATATCATAGGATTTTTTTTTATTTTTAAATAATATGAACAGCGTTAAGGTGAATATACCACAAAATACATGAATATGAATGGCAGATAGATAGAGCACTGCTCTTCTGATCCGGCAGCTTCTGCAGTCTGCTTTGTTCCAAACGTACTGGATTTACCTTTTTTTTTTTTTTTTTTTTGGAGTAAACAAGGCAGGTCGAGGAAGGGATTATTATGCATGGGCAACATATGGTCTCAGCGGCGTCCGTGGCTAAGGCGTTACGAGTCCGACTCGTAAGCCAGCATAACGCGATCGAAACCCACTGCAGGCTGCGTGGATTTTTGTCGTGGTATGGGACGTCGCAGGTCGACCCAGCCTAAATTGGACCACATTACCCACAGAGTGCTGATGGTCTGTAAAAATATGGGACGCTCTGCCCATATGCCCGATAGGCGTGAAAAGGGATCTTTACTTTTTTTTTTAACTAACATATGGTCTCTACAATACTGCCCAGGCTTTGTGACTTCATCCCTGGCCTTACGGGCGGGTCTTGCTATTCACACTCGCCATCGCCATGGGCTGTGAGTCTCATGCCTCCTCATAGCGCAATATAACACTATCGTTGGGAAAGATGCCAATCTACATGAATAGGTGTAATTTCGATGAAACTGGAAGTAAATGAAAGATCCACTAGGCTGGCCATGTCTGCAGCAGTCAGTAAATGAAGAAGTATGGAGAGGGCAGTCATAGTGAATGCGTGGCGTTCCAGAGACGTTGAATAAAGTTAGTCAGAGACGATGAACCACAGTCTGCTGGAAGTGAGCGTTCAACGAGGACAAGCATGCAGACACCGGTTGCGGGGGAGAGAAAAAGGATACGCAAGCGACTCCTACTGGTATGGTTAGCATGGGGATACTGAGATAGCTGCTGTATCGGATGACAGGGCATGAAATGGGTCGGATCGATGTGCTAGGATATCGACACACGCCACAAATAGCAAAATACCAATGGCTTTTAATCCTGGACACGAGATTGTTCACATAAATGTGATTCTGAAGACGATTAACCAAAACATCGCGGGCAGACGGTCTGTGTTATCTATACATTTTAATGAGTTTAGGGGACATCACAGACTTTCACGGGCATCACAGTAAAGGGTCCTATGTATGTCTTAGGCGTTTCAGGCACTGAATGCTGGACCTTAATTTTATAGACCAATGGGTATTTGACGGGTGTTGCGGTGACCATCAGGTCGGCCCGATTGGCTTCACTTCCCAGGCTATTACCTGGTACTCGTTTGAGGTAGGGTCATCCTGAGAGCCAAGGTGCCAAGATGGAGAAAAACATCTGCTTTGATATGGATTTGAACCATAGAGGTTTCAGACCTTCAGGCGAGAGCCTAGGCGCTACACAAAGTACGTGGAAATGTTTAGGTCGCGTTAAGTGAACACTGAAAGTGGACAGGTTTATTGAAGTGGAGAAAAGTGGAGGCTGTGAGGAAAGAAAGGGTGGTAACTGGAGGAGGGGAGCAGTAACTGGTTGTATTTTCTCTCGGTATCGGGAAATAAGATGACAGTATGTGCCAACTGCGGCGTCCGTGGCTAAGGCGTTGCGAGTCCGACTCGTAAGCCAGCATACCGCGATCGGAACCCACTGCGGGCTGCGTGGATTTTTGTCGTGGTATGGGGACGTCGCAAGTCGACCCAGCCTAAAATGGGTACCAGGATGGGCTGTCCTGGGAAAGTAAAGACAGCCGGCGTAATGCTGACCACATTACCCACAGAGTGCTGATGGTCTGTAAAAATATGGGACGCTCTGCCCATATGCCCGATGCGCCGAAAGGCGTGAAAAGGGATCTTTACTTTTTTTTTTTTTACTTATGTGCCAACTGATACATCTGGTTGAAAACCGCGGGATGTGGTCTAGCGTGATCGCCTATGCCAACTGGCAGAGAGCTAGATAAAAATTACAACAGTAATTTATCAGTTTAACGTAGAAGCCACTCTACTGTAGCGGTTAGACGCTCGCCTGAGAATAAGATTGTTCAGGTCCTGACGGAGCCTTTTTCTGTACGTGCCATTGGCTCCCAGTTCGACCCAGCCTTAAAATGGGTACCAGGTAAAGGGCTTGGAAGTGAAGGAGACCGGCGTCATGTTGAACACAACACCCACCGAGTGCCGATCTAACAAATAAAGCTCTAGCCCCATATGGTCAATACGTCTAAAGGTGTGGAAAAGGGTCCTTTACTGTTTACTTTATAAGTATGACGTATGTTCAACGTATCAATGCAATCTTTCTCCGTTGTGAATGTGAACCCAGAAGAGACAATGTCCTCACTATATTGCCAGCTAAAAATAAAAAGAAGGTAAAGGACCCACTCCACACCACTGCCGCTTTGGGTATATGATGCTAGCCTCGCATTTGTACACATCTCGATGGATATTGTAGTCAACATCTCATAGACCGCTTTTACTTCCTGGGATTTTACATGGCCAGCTAAATATAGCGGGCAATAAATATTGCAACTCACTGCCTGTATCAACATCATAAAATCTTTTTATAATGAAACACGATGCTGTGTAAGAACTGATTCCGGCAATTCTGACTGGTTCCCGGTGGAAACAGGAGTGAAGCAAGGCTGTGTCCTATCGCCGATGCTTTTTGGTAT